ATCAGCATTGACAGCTGATGAATTAGCGTATCTTATTTAGGTGTTCAAAATGACCACCGTTGGCTTCGTGGCGCAGTTGACAGCGGTGAGGAACTGACAGTCGGCAACCGAAGTTGCTGTTGTGTATATATCTTTTTGAGACACTGTGTGTACTTAAACCGGTTAATATAAATGTGGACTTACAGTTATTTTTATGTACTTAGTTTTCGTTTTTTCTTGACCAATGATTTTTCTGTAACATATTTACGAAAGCTGGATTTTTAGAATGTACCAAAGAACGTCAGCCAAGTAAGTCAGTCGGCATAGCGAGTGAAAACGTAGAATTTACCGAAAAATGACATCTCGCTATGATGAGAGCTTGTGTGAGACAGAGGGTAGGTTACTAAATGTAGTGCGTTTATTGACAAAGTTGAACGCAACCGTCACTTCCCGGCTGCCGGCAGGAACTGCGATAATAGAGGTAAGTTGATTGTGCTGTTTTTAGTTCCAACCGGTAGCCTAGAAGTGACGTTTCTGTTCCTACGTTGTCAGTGAACGCACGTAGTAGTGAGATTAAAATGAGCAGAGATGGGTAATTGTGACATTCTGGGTGGTTAACATGGGATACGTTAGATAACGTTGAGGAGATACTAAACACTAGTGACATTTCTGAGGGCTACGCACATTTAGAAGTAAAAATTTGCTATGAAAACTGTATATTCAGGAACAAATTACATTTTACGGTCTTGTGTGTCTGGGACACAGTGAGCAACTAATCACAATTACTCCTTTTTTATACTTTTACTGCACTCCAAGTTTCCAAGTTGTACAGAAGGATCTGATCTGTATTTAGAATAATATTTCTCATTCTCGGGATACGTTTTTAAGTCTGCAGAATTTTCGTGTTGGTAATTATTTTACTTCCAGCCAAGTTCCGCCAACTCAGTGTTATGGTTTCTGATTTATAATTAATTTTCTTTGAATATAGACCTAATATAATGTCCGTGTAATGAGAAGTTTTAAACAGATGCATTACAAAGACAGCAAACAAACATTTAGGTACGTATGTATTAGGATTTGAGGTTCTCCCAACTGCGAATTTGGTACCTCGACAGGGAAGGAACCGCGGGCGTGTAGTTGATCCGTTCGGTACCTCAATCTTAGTAGGAAAAACGACAGTGGACTCCTGAGACATTTAATGACGTTGCACAAATGTTTAAATTATACAGCTTTTGATGACGAAATATTTCAGTGCAGAAAGTCAGATGGCCAAAATCCGGTCGTGGATCTACTGAATGAAAGCCACGAGTTTGTTCTTTATTAAAATTAAAATTATTCACCCCCATTTGTTATTTAGATTGCTCAGCTACCTTTAGGTGGTTTGTGCTAAGTCATTTTAAAGTAATTTAGAACGTAACTCCGTGGAGTCGTACGCAAGAACTCGCCACTAGACTGTCAAAAGTTATTTAAATTCAGTGCACATTTACGCATCTTATTTCTTTAAGATTGGTTTTAATATCCTCGTCCCATTTACGCATACTTTTCCTAAGTAGGGAATTTAGAACTTATTTATTTTAAGAGACATCAAATAACATAGGTTTCAGTCGTTCGTTAAAATCGTGACTTGATACCAAACTGACAGTAAATAATTCAATTCATACTTTTGGATTCAGTAGATAATATAACTCAAGAAAAGTATGATACTTTCACTGATTCGCCTACTCTCTTGTCATATTAATACGACAGCAGCAAGTAGGCCTACATTAGTGAAAGCTAGCTCAGCTGTTGGACTTGCCAAATGCTGAAGCTGGCAGTGTGATTCGGGGGGGTGGGGGGAAAGGTCCTCTTAGTATTTTTCATCTCAGCAATCTAACGAAGTTCTGGGGAATTCAGGACGTGCTTTGGCCATGATTTTCAACCACTTAGAAGTAAACACAATTATATAAAAAACAATTTACTTTGAATCGGATTGTGCAAACTTTTTATTAACCGCTAACCGCATTTGTTATTCCTTTTCTTTTGTCCAGGGCTGCAGGCAAAATAATGTCGTGGACAGTAAGCGAAATTGTATTTCTGTATTTGTTAGCTTTCAAACAGTTTAAATTTAAGTTATTGTTTATTTTATAAAACTTGTTATTCATACTACAGCTATTTTTATACTGTTTCATTAAATTCCATCTTATTTGAACAACGGAACATTGTGCCGATGATGATGAGGTGGTGATTACTGTACTGAATTCGAACCACGTACCTCCCAGCTGTAATGCCTACCTTACATCTATTCATTCTGCTGACCGTATCACCGCATAAGATACTTCCAAACGTTGTAATGGCAGTTAGAAGATTACCGGGATTCTTCGTATTTCAAATGCGATAGAGTCCTTGAGAAGCTAATCGCAGAGTTAGTCAAGAAATTCTTGCCGTTTATAGATGAAGATGGTTTATTACCGTGTTCACAAGAGTCCGCCACTGGAACTGAACACGCAATTTCTTTAAAGTCGAAGTAAATATATCTTCCTATCTACGCTTGTATTTCCCGAATAATATATTTCCTTCAGAAGAATTGCATATATATATTTCATATTCTTGTGCGTGCTATATGTCTCGCCTATTGTATCCTCCCTGATTCGCTTACCCTCATTGTGCTTAGTGAAGTGTAAAAGGTAAGTCAGTGTAATGGAAGAAAATTAATATCACAATTAGTAAGTACGCTCAGCATTTGGAATTCGTCCCAATAATAGGTAACAGGTATGGAGATTACTGTCTTTTTCGCCGTGTAATGTGGTAGAATTTTACCTACCTTTCCGGGCTGCTTACTGCCTCAGTCTCAGAGCGATGAGTGACGTAATACTTTAAGGCGTTGATAAAATACGTCACCTTTGTTTCAGATAATACTTCCCGCCCAATCTTAATCATTTTCAATTATGACTGATGCATGCAGGTATCGGTGGTACCGATTTCAAAGACGCGATTTCATTATCAAGTTGGTATTGAAATAGTTTCAACTTTGGCACTGTCTCGCCGCTAATTACACGAGCCGTGTAATGGATGCCATTCTTGTATTAAATAACAGTTCCCAAGTAAAAATTTATATATATATATAGAGCCGGGATAGCTCAGTCAGTATAGTGACTAGCTACGGGCTGGACGACCGGGGTTCGATCCCCGATGGGGGCAGGATTTTTCCTCTAGCCTCAAAACAGGTTTAGATTAACTCGTTCCTCGTAATTGAACGATATGTTGCACATGCATTAGGATGATAACTTGAATTTGCGCAGTTGACCTTATTACACGTACTCGTGCAAGCGACAATGTAATTGGGTTAATGAACTTTGTTATTGTGGCAAGCTCCTTGAAGGAAAAATGATAAGAAACGAGCGTTCTGTGGGGTCTAAAGTTGGAAAAAGACTCCAGCCCCACACCATAAAGAAGGATGATGAGGTATTGCTCCATGCGCTCGTAACTTCTGCACTAAATGAATGTGAGTGGTTGATTTCATACCCTGGTCTTATGATCCCAGGCAATTGAATAAAAGTTTGAGTGCATATGAGAGTCTGTTTGGATTTTGTGGCAAAGGGAAAAAATTCCTTTATTGACGAAGGTATATCGTAATACGCTTGCGTAGTATGTGTACGGTGTGGTAGATTATGTAAGTAGCATTTAGAATTTGCAAAGAACGCATCTGTGTATTCCCCGATTGATTGCGCTTTTATAATCTTGTTGAATTTCATCTTAGAGCTTTTTACAGGATTAGCTGCGTTCCCTCAAATCCACTTTTGTTAAACATTTTTTATATTGGGATGTAGCCGCGGTAGAATCTCAGAGTTAGGGGAGAGATTAGGGCGACAAGTAGGCCTTTTATAATCGTGGATGACGCAATCACCCATGCCCTTAACGCCTTTTGAATTTGTGATTCCAGCTATCGTTTTCCATATAGTCATTGTGAGTTGCTATTTCTGAGTTAAATATGCAGGCAGTCTGCTTAGATATGTGCAGGCATATGGTACATATAAAAAATGGCTGTGTATCAGTTGCGTAAATCATCGACTTTACGGACTGGGTCCAGTGACCTGTTTAGTCAGCATTAAAATGTCCGTGAGCATGTCATATTTTTATTGGTCTTATTCCTTTATAGACTGCAGGGGTGGAGCGTTTGTGTTAACCGCTTTAGCCCGGCTAACACTTTGAAATAAAATATCAAGTCTTCTGTCTTTCGTGGTTCTGTGGCACTCCATACATTGGAATGTGGCAGAGACGACCAGATAAAATGCGTCGTTAACCAGCTGTAGGCAACCAGGCATTGTTAGCGTTGCTTTTATCGAGGTGAGCGTAAGCCTCAACCAGCTGGCTAACAACGCCTGGCTGGGACTTGCTGACGATGCATTTTATGTCATCGGCCGTGCTGTGTTGCAGTGCATGGAGCACCACTGAACCACGAAAGGAAGACAGAAAACTTTTTTTGGTGTTTATTGTTAGCTCGGCTAAAACGGCTAACACAGTTAACATGAACACTCCGACCCTGATAGTCTATAATTTATAACTGTGATTTGGGATGAGGTGGGGACGTTAACGTAGAGAAGAACTTTATAATTTGCACTCTTCACCAAATATAATTAGTATTTAAAAAAACCCAGCTTTTTTCTTTGTTGTCAGGGGGGCATGCAATCTTGATGTGGCATGTCCTTCTTTCCTTGTAAAATAATGAAAGAACACCAGAAAGCATATTTAGGCATAATACGATTTTATGCTTCCATGTTGACGTGTTGGTGCTGATGTTGCATGCTGCTGTGAAATTTCAAAATGCTTTGTTCAATATTGCTCGTATTGTTAGGGTAAAAAGCTTGAAAGAGGACATGATTGTCCCTCTCAACAGCTTCCTACATTTGTCTGCCTGTCGTCGATCCTGTTGTGGAACTGACGGCTGGAACCCAGCCAGTTACCGCATGGGAGATATCGGAATGCTTGTAGTTCAATAATTGTCATGGCATGAATGACAATTTAGCGTATTTTGTTTTTCACAGAGCTGGGCACGTGGGAGTCAGCAACGGTGACGTCATCTTTCAACCATGGCTGAACTCGTGAGGGACATAATACATGGCTACCGAGAAATCATGGACAACAAAAGTGGTGAGTACGACCTAATTGAATATCACAACAGCGCAACAGATTGGAAGTTAACCATCTTTTTGCTTGTTTGAACAGCATTTTCGTATGCTGTTACAGCGCGTTGGGCAGACTGTGTTAAGTGGATTTTAAACGAATGTAGTGTTTAAGGTTATGGACTTAAACTGGCTGTAGACCGTTGTTCCACCCAATATCAGTAAGCCAAGGAGACAGGAGACCCGAATAGCTGCTGCCCTATAAGAGGTTCTGACGGCGGTGGGAATGTCGATTCTCGTCTTCTGGGTTATAACGCCGTGTGGGATTGTTGGTAGACACCAACGTTAGGAGGAGTATACTGCTTCCATCTTCAGAGTTGAAAATGGAGACTTTTTCTCTCTCCGAAACGTTCGTATCTACTTTTACAATTCCACACGACATTACAACCGAGAAGACCAATATCGACTGACATGCTGCCGGTTTCTAGCCACACCCTCCGGTACATGAGTACGTATTCTCTTTCTCACGCAGACACAGACAGAGCTTGAGCCTAACCTTAACCACAACTTTGAGTACCAGTTTGCCTTTCTTGGGCGGTGTTTTTTATGTTTATTTACTTGGCTGCCAAACTGTCTATATTCCTTGTATGTTCATTGATGTCAATCAAACTGTTCTGGGCAGATAATGAAACATCCGTTAATAAAACTGTTTATTTCGTGTTACATATTGTGGTACTGGTGTGTTCTTAAAAGATTACTCTTTTTCTGTAGAGCTGATGATTGTTTCATATGCAGAATTTGTTATAATTTTAGGTGTTTTTAAATTCTGGTTTTATGTGAATCTGGATTTGTTGATAGTCTTAGATAACCAGTATGAGTGATTTTTTAAATTTTTAATATAATCAAATGTACTGTAAGTTATTTTTCTTGTTGACATGTAATGGTGAAATGTGAATTTTAAAATCAAGGATGACCAAATTATATTGTCAGAAGATGAATGTGGTACTGAAGATGGTTTAATTAAACCGAAATGCGTGTCTCATAACTAACTAAAACTAACTTCATTGATCAGAGTACTTCTTAAGAAGCTGATAGTACTACTCAAGAAATTCTCTAAATGTTATGGGTCCCGAAGGTTCATAATGTGTTTGGAAGAATCTGCCTTACGTCAAATAGAGCCAAAAATTTCAGGTTCTCAACGATGGTGAGAATGGAAATGGTCGTCTTATGGGTTGTGGTCGGGTTGAAGTTTACTGACGTTTCAGAGACGCTTGATGCATACATCACCAGGACCGACCTACGTAATAATGAAGGCAGCAAGCACCTCTGAAACGTCAGTAAACTTCTACCAGACTACACGGTGCTATAGCGCGGAAGACATCCTTTTTCGTGTTAAGAGCTGTTGCTAGAGCAATGCAAATAATAATGTAACCCAAGATTAGTTAACGCTTGCGAACTAAAGAGCACTCTGTCAAAATCCATTATCATCCGTTATCGTAATAGGCATTAATGGAACCGTCTCATCAGCTTGTTAATGCATTTTTCAACATCAATTTCAATTTCTTTACTTAATTTAGGGATTACACGTTGTATTATAGAGTAGTGAAATGTGGGTTATGACAAGATTTTCGTTTCTTACGAGCATTACGGGGAGATTTAGACACCGATTGAAAGCTGCTTTGATGTTTCATGTGTCATCGCATGCAGCTAGGCCCTGGATAATTCACTTTTCTTGAAGTTGCTCCTTGGCTAATGCAAGTACAGTTGTCAAAAATTCAGTCTTGTTATGAAGTGCGGCAAAAACTAGAATTATTCCAATCTGTCTTCTTGAAGTATACGTGGCACTAAAGTGGAGCCGAACGTCACGATCGAGTGGTTAACACTTTTGTTTCGTCCAGGGTTAGAATCTCGGTCCGAAGATCGACTGTCTTATTGAAGGTTTCCATGTGTTTTTCTTAATTCCTCCAGGAAAATTCCCAAGCTCTCATGGCCGACATATCGGTTTTATGGCATGTTTAATGGAAAATCCTTAGTCCGTTGAAAAGTTATTTGTACGAGGGTGGGGGCAGGGAGACGGATACGTGATACATAATATTCCAGTAACCGCTATTATTTTGTATACGCAAATATGGATAACAAGACGTTAAATGTGCTAATAGCGTAAGCAAATCTGGTGGCATAATTTTGTGAATTGTCATGGAGTTCCCCCGCTGGGGATTAGCTCCCGGTAACTTCCGCATGGAGGTCTTAGCAAACAGTGTCCATTATTGTTGCTTAATATTAGCCGAAATTGGAATGCGTGCACAAATATTAGTGATATTCCCTAGAATGAAATTTAATGGAAAATCCGTTCAGTGATTTTCGGTTTGTTACGTGCGGACAGACAAACATGACGAAGCTAATAATGGATTGTTTTGAATACACATCGACTTCTAACGTCTGTCGTCTCATGAAGAAGTATTTTAATCCTATGGTGTGTTCTCTGTGTCTTTCTGAAGAGATCTGTTATATGAGTTTAATAGTCATGTAGCTGCTTATTGGCGACGCTCTCAATAGCTCAAACTACATAGCGTCGAATTATGAGATGATTAATGGACAGTTATTTGGAAAGAATATAGAAGGAAGCGGTTGTGGCCAAATTTAATTTGACTGGAGAGACTGATGAAAACCATGAACAATCTCCTTTGGGACAGGCGATTTCTGGGCGGACATTTGAACCTAATTCGAAGCAGGAGTGCTAACCACTTGGTCGCGACGTTCCGTTAGGTAGACTCGTTATCGATTTTGTATTAAGCCAACACAGCTGGTTTACTCTACGGCCAGTATTTCAGTGCGGGTTCAAGTGATACAAAGAATATTGTTTATACACTAAGCAAAAATTCATGATAGAGACAGTAAATACCTCTGAAATTTTTATCAAAATCGACCACACTAAACGACAAGGAATTCCACATGTCAGCCATCTACATCGTGAAAGTTCTCATTACCTTCCCTGAGACCACTGACCGCCTAATACCTTTAAATGATCCACGGTCACTTCGTTATACGTCCTTCGAGAATAAGCAGTCATACTTTGCTGCCATCTTTCAGCATGTAAAGGACTAATTTATTTCCATATCGCCTCTGAGACGTCGGCTAGTACCTACATACTACCCGGTGGAACATTAAGAATATATCCAATTATGTACTCGTCACCATGAGAACCAGAAAGCTCACTTAATTAACTCTTGGTATCACTATGAATGCGATCTCTGAAATGTTCCACTTCATTAAGGATTTGTTTGCTGTCTTAATATTTTATTCTTGTTAGTATACAGGAGCTTGTAGATTTCTCTGCGTCTGTTCTGATGAAGATTTGTTTGGTTTATTCAGTTTCAAATTATACGTTTAAGAACATCTGGAACTTTAAACTACTTTGTTACATCCGCTGATGGCTTTGGCAATGCTTCTATATGCGCATCTCGGTTTCCTTGTGATGGCATATGGTTACATTAAAATCGTAAGATTAGAATCTCACTGTTTATTTCAGTACCTCACTTAGGCATTTTGACACTTTTAAACGTTTAAAGTCTTACCTTGTCTAAATAATATTTAATAATTCAATTCGTACAGAAATCACAACACTTCTCCATTACGAAGATCAGTTTGTGATCGCTGTTTAAGTAATCACTGTTTACGCCAAGATTAATTTGAAACCATAGATAGAAAATTCAGCCTTAGTGACACTTAAGTCAGGTGGTACATATTGTTACCGATCGGTTTTGAATGATCGAGGAACTTATTAACATAGGCTCACTCAAAATTAGCGAATGAAACACAGGTGTTTACTGGGGAGAATAAGCGTATAATAAAATAGATTTTTTGTTTCGGAACTTGTTTGATTTAAAGGAAGTAAATGTCGCGACAGTAGCTGTCATGGTTTTACTTGACAGGAAGTCGCCAGTTGTAACTGCCAAGGCAGATAAGGGCATAATGTAATCGCGCCGTTGCTATGCAACGGCAGTGTTTTGAAACTGCGAGGAGGCTATGCCTGTTTATTTGCTTCCATTGTGACGCGATGAAATGTACAAAAAAAATTGTTTTTTGTTTCTTAATTTAATAGGATAGGGTTTTACCCGTCAGAGTTAACGGGAATGAAACTTTTTTGTTTTTTGAACAGTAACAATTTATTACAGCATCGCCTTTGCAAATCGCATTTAAAACACAAAATTAAAAAGGGTCTTTATAAAGTAGACCAAATGTGAAAACGTTTTTGCATTGACTGTAAAACGCAACCAACGCAAAACCATCCACCTGTCCTGATTGTAGGCTCTCACCAAACTCAACTCCGCCAGGCCCCATAATAGGCACCACCATAGCCTTATTTGAATTTATTGCCACTAGAGTCGCCACTGTCAGAAGTTAATTTCAATTTTTTCCCCGTATCGCACGAACGACGCACTTGTCCAGTAGCTGTCGTATTAGCATTAGAATTTCATGGCCCAATACGAAATCTATTGTAGGTCATGAACAGTTTCCCAGAAGTTCACAGGATATTCGGAGCAACTGTATTGCCATTGTATTAGGTTTACATATGAAGTTATTTTATTGTTCCTTGGCGTATATTAAATGGCAGTGGTAAATTATCATGAAAAGTAAACATTTTCTACGCATGTGAATTATCTTTGAGTTAATGTTTTGCGTCTTTCAGTAACTTTATTAAAATGCTTCAGAAAGTAACGAAGTGTGGTATAACAACTGACAGTTTCGTGTATATTAATTCGAAATACTATAACCTAGATTCTAAGTTTTCTTCTGTTTTTACTGATTTTGATTCGTATTGGTTTCTCGAATCTGTCTGGATTATTAATTTTTTTGACGTAAATACGTCTATAAGGAAGGATCATTCGGCAAAAATGTGTTACGAAAAAGTGTAACTTCATTGTTATGTTACCTAGGAAACCTCATCTGTTTACTCAACATTGTTGTTACCTATAAAACATTACATTACATTACCTTTCATTACATTCAGCTACCACAGAGCCATCT